CTGTGTGTGTGGACGCGCACACACATGCATGTGCATGCTCATGTATTTTAGGAGTGTGGCCTGTGTACATGGAAGTGTGGATACACTCGCCCTGTATGTGGGAGGTCAGAGGTTGGTTGGAGCATCTTCCTCCATCGGTTCCCACCTTACTTTTGAGACAGGCTCTCTCACTGAACCTGGGCTCCCTCTTTTGGCTAGACTGGTCATTCAGTATAGCTGTGGGATCCGTCTTTCCTCTCTCTGCTCCAATGATGAGCTCACAAAACCGTGTCACTGCACCAGAAGTTCTTTGACTGGGTGCTGGCAATCTGAGCACAGAGCCTCATGCTTATGTGGCAAGCATTTCACACAGTGGGCTATCCTCCCACTGATCAATGTTCTTTACCCCTTTAAAACACACAGCTGACACGTTGGCTGCATTAAGCCAACAACAAGCAACAAATAAAACCAGAGTCTTCTTGTTTGTTTCAAGTGGAAACCAGAGTAACGGCTCTGTGGCTGGCTGTGAATATTGCAGAAACAGCATGGCTCCCTGAGAACCCTTCATCTTTAGAAAAGCCAGCATACCCCTTGGATGCTTTCTCAACTGTATCCCCCAAGTAATGTCCCCACTCTTTGGGCGCCATAATCTCAAATACCACCCACTTCCCAAAGGCCTGTACTTCTTGTTTGGGTGTGGTGGTGCCGTATTCCGATGATATCTCTTACAACCTAAGAGACTGGAGCTTTTGCTGGACCTCACAGCCAGAGTTCATAGCACACCCTGCAGTCACTTAAGACTTGAAGACTGCTTCCCTACTCTGTAGTCAAGCTGTTTAACCGCCTTTGCGAGAACACTGTAACAGACAGCCTAACCCTCACTGTGGAATGCAGTTAATCCAACCTAAGTGGCCTCAGCATCTTCAGAGTTCCAACATTCTCCAGAAGCCAAGTCTAGAGTATCTCCAGGGACTTCAGGCAAGTTCTTCAACAGTAAGCACCTGTAAAATTGAAAATTGGCTCTCGTACTTTTAATACACAGTAGTAGGGAATAGACATTCCTATTGCAAAGGGAGAAAACATAATGGTAACAAGGGATGACTAGACAGAGCATGTCTGAAACCCAGCAGGGCAAGCAGGTCCACGTGCAGCTTCTGGGCTGTGTACTGGATGATGTGAGCCCCACCAGCCTTAGACAATGCCTGCTCTCCGGCATCTCCCTGAAGCTGGTTCCACTTGGTACTTGAGCCCTTTCTTTTCACATACCCCACGTCCCTGGCATCCCAAACATTCTGCAGGTTCTGTTTGGACTTGGACTCCATTCTACACAGCGCTCTTGTAGACAGCTTGCCCCTGGTGTGCATCACCTGGCCTCACAACTGGGGTGCAGTCTCGGGGTGGAGTTCAGGACTGCATAGCTAGACATCTTCACACCTGCAAAACCACTGCCCTGTGGGTGGAACCCAGACTTGCTGTCAGCTCGGATAGCAGCTGGGCACCCTGAGAACACAGGCGAAGTGCCCTCATGGCTGAACACAGGGAAACACTTCTCCTTGCCCCTCTCGGCAGGTAGAGCAACAGAAGTATTTCCAAAGGAAAGTCATTCCAAAGTTTTCAGTTTTCT